AGGAGTGGTCAGATGTTCAGTCGTGTTGTGCTCTTCTACTACGCCCTATAGGCGGTAACCAAACAACAAGGCTCAAGGCTTCGTCATACTCTTCTTACGCCTTTGCTTGGCTCTATCGTCCTACAATTCTACCCGCGGGAACAATCAAGTGAGATAATGAAGAGATTAGTAGAGCTAGACATAATACAGGTCTTATGGCAACTAGGTAGACCGAGGCAACGTGAGGTACTAGCGAAGGCTTAGGCCTAAGCCCTTCAATCCAACTGCAGGCGTGCCAATCAACGCAGCGCCGATGAGAATCAGTGTTATTGAGCTGATTCTCTTGCAATACATTACGTCTGGTAAAAACTTAGGCTGACAGCCAGCCTGACCCAAAAACGGAGAAATCCAGAAATGTCTCGCAAGTTCCGGAGCATAAGGATGAGACAATGAAAAGGAAGGCCGGCACATTCAGTCAAAGACTTGATGACGGAAGCTTGAGGCTTTCGGGGCAAGTGATCCCCAGTCGAACGCATCAGAGTCAGCGGAGCCAAGCCTCTTTTACTACCCGTTCATCGAACAGGAAAAGCAGTGGCCAAGTCTCTGAGAGTTGTCGCGCGCGACGACAAGACCAGAGATGATGGACACTTGGCTATTGGGCCAATTCACATCGATTTCACATTTCAAAGCCATTGAAATAGGGTTGACTTGGTTTGTCAGGCGTATGAATGTGTTGCAGCCCCGTTATGACTTGGACTTGGCTCGATTGGGACTGCATCCCACGGTGCAAGGTGTAACTCTGGTGTCATCGCAAGAGCGGCCATGTACTTCTACGAGTCGATACATGGTGTTACGACCGTTACTCATTTCCAGAGATAACCTAGCGGGATGCGCAACCGCTTGACTTCAACCCTCCCTGGAAATCATCCCGTCACCTTCGTCACTAGGTCATGGGTGCCGACAGGGAAGCCCGAACCGAGCATAGAGATAAGCATCGAGATTGGCAAACTGGTCAACTTTCACCCAGCACCTTGTACCTGAACCCGAAAAAGGCGGGGTAACAGGATTTGGAGAAGATGCTGCGCGTGACCATTATTGCACATGTTGCTGACGAGGCCAGTTGCGCGACTTTACGCTCCACTGAGAAATCCTGTGTCGCGGCGCAGAGCCGAACCTCTGGCAAGAAATTGCAGTGTGCTTAGGCGTGATAGCAAAGGACGCCCATCGAAGTAAGGATGAGACTGTTGTGTATCCAGGAAGGTGCGGCAGAATGGCCGTCGGACACCATGGTCGTTACCAGAAAACCAGGCCTCTCGTTATTAAGCTTTCTCGTGACACAACAAAACGCATGGCCTATGTGGGACAAGACAAACTAGGCCGTCTGGGTTTGGTGCCCAGATAAGCCGGCGCCATGGCCAAGAAACGGTTCAGGGTTGTTGTGCGACTAGCGGGAGGGCTAGCCTGGCAGGTCGGGAAACCATTTGGCCAAGCACTAAGACCGCGTGCAAGCTGCTATCGGGACCCGAATTTTGCGGGGAAACAGCCGAGTTGGGTGCATTCGAGAATGAAGACGGATCATGATCCTAGCAGCGAGTCAGGGAGGGAGCTGCGGATGTGGATAGTCTGGGGGAAGGTCGAACAGAGAAGATACCTAGCCAGACTGGGGTTCGGGGAGGTTGGCGGCGACATCTTGGTTGGTCTAAGGGGGACGTTGGAGGTTCGGGGAGGGGTGGGATTCTGCAGCAAACAAGAGACGACGCACAATCCAATATGTGCTGCGATATACCAGGCACCGCATTGGAGCCTGCCGCCTAGTGCCCGAGATGGCATCCAGGAAGCATGAAAACTCTATGGCGAGTCGTGAAGATGCGTCGAAGGAAACAAGTATCCCTCATGCGTCGGTTGGTCAATTGACTCGGGTGACCTGGGCGGAGGCGCCTATCCACTCAACGTTACTTTTCGACAATTCCTGACGGGCAAAAACCACAGAGGGCTCAAGGGTCTTTTGCTGGCTGCAGCCCCCCACTGCTCACGTCCTTGCCTCCAGCGGCTGAGAGACCAGGCGAGCTCGCCAATCTCTCGTTGCTTAGATCCGGTGTGCCGCCTGAAGTTTACCCTGGTCCAAGCGGCCAAGGGTTATTGGCGCGGTGTGCATGTTGCTGATGGGCGGTTTATCTATCCGGGGCAGCGCTTGCTAGGGGCCGTCTGCACGCCAAGTCGTCGTTGCCAAAGTGGAATGGGCCCCAACCTACCGAACTAAGATGAAGATAGCTTGGTTACCAATCGTGCACGTACAGCGCACACTGCGTGACTGATGGGGACGAGATGGTGACAAGAGCGATCACAGTTGGGGGTGATGGAGATGGTTGAGCGCGTCAACTTGCTAGAGGGAAATGGACAATTCGATGTATAGGTCTCGCCAACCATAAACCGGAAAGCTTCACGAAAAAGCCAGAGCCATCGGGGTCCCGAGTCTGAAAAAGTGACACGAGTTCGCGACATGGCCTTCGTCCGACCAAAGTTTAAGGTTCTTTTTCGAAGCTCGAGATGTTTTAGGTGGCACAAAGATGGGCAGATGGTGGTGCTCGCGGATGAGTCCATGGTGGTCCCAGGTGGCGAGAGCGGGCATGCGATGGCACGCAACATGGGACGTCAGTCCGTTCTCCTTGTGCCGTTTGGTGGTCCAGACGGGAGGCGGCATTGAGTTTGGAAATGTCGACCAGGTTGGGTGCAACCGTACGGGTGGTGGATTGGGGGACATGTGGATATTCGAATGTCTCTGAGTCTCCAGACGGGGGTGTGAGTGTCAGAGGGGAGATGCAGTACGTATTGAGACGCTCGTTTCTACAAAAAGAGGAGAAAGAGAGGGGGGTATGAGCCGGGGTGAGGGCAAAGGATGGGAAAGGGAAAACGGGCAGCCAGGAGAAGAAGATAGAGATAGAGAGAGATGGTTAAATCCTCTCCTACTCTCAATAAGATACTCCCGAGGAAGACACGAGAGAAAGTCATAAGGAGCGTGAAGAGGACCCCTTCTTTCCCTGACTGATGGGCGGAACGGATACTTGGGCCTGAAGGCCCTTGCCAGAATCCTTCTGCAGCTCACCTGGTGCGTTGGTTCCTTTGGTTTGGTTTGGTTTGGTTCGGTTCAGTTTGGATTGTTTTGGTTTGGTTCGAACGAATGGCTAGCGTCCATGCTTGCACCCGACCCAAGTGCACTTGTAGCATGTGCAGCAAACGCAAGTGGCTCTCGCTGGTTTCCTTTTCGCATCCTCTTTTCTTTCCAAACGTCGCTCTTTCCCACCTCTGGCGGCTGGTTTGATTTCCCCGCAAATCATTCGATTGGGTGACGTCGACAAGCGGGGGTCTGGCTGGCTTAGAGGCCGGCCGTCAAGTGGCTGCATACGCTAAGGCAGCACTAGACACCACGCTAAGAGGAGATACGTACCGGTGCGCACCGCGAAGGTGTCTTTGCTGGAAGCAACGCTGAGGCCATCTCGTCGGTGATTGGACGACGCATCTGCGAGCTCCTGCTAAGGCTAAGGGACGTGGACGAGAGCTTGCTCAGGTCAGGGTGGGTGGGTGGATGCTGCCGTAGCCTCCGCGCCAACCCTCTCAGGCTGGCCGGGGTCTGGCCTCTTTATGTGCCGTTCCTTGCCATCTTCCCCTCCACAGATTCTCCATTACCTACCACAGGCAGGTGCGGGTGCAGGTGCAGGTGCAGGTGCCGCTACCAGGAATAGCAAGAACGGGAAAGAGGAAGGGCAGGAAGGAGCAAGAAGGAACAGACAGAACAAGCAGCTAGGGGAGGGCAAAGAGGAAGGAGCAATCGCGAGCTGTCCGATTCTCTATCAAATAAGCCCTCTCGTCTCCATCCATTCCAGAATCACAACTTGGCAAGCCCCAGCGTAGCACAGTCAGTCAGTGAAACCCGCATTTGGTCCCTCCTCAATCAGCACATCCATCCTTGCATTGACATCAAACTCTCTCTCGATCGACTGCTCTCGCCCTCCACAAGACGACGAGTGCACTACATCAGCAACCCACCAAACCTACGCACATCACTGCGATAGTGTGCTCTGCCGCTCCGTCACTCAGCCGGTTAATCACTTCGTCATTCAGCCATTGTCCTGTTTGACCCCATACGTAGGCCCAATCTTCCTGGGCCTATCTTGCCATCTGCGCGTGTCTCCGTTTAACGTCGGGCGGTTCGCTTCTTCTGCAGACGCAGTCAAATCACCGCCAGAGGCATCGGCGGCGCTCTCAAACACACGCCGACCGGCCGACCGTCCGACACCGCATTTGCCTCTTCCCCACACGCACCCGCCATCCCACCATCACTTGCCTGTCCTGGGCTGAGCATTCCAGAGCGACCAGCCAGCCGCTGCCCGATGCCAAGCATCCCCCAAGCACACCCCTAAGCGTCCAAGCACACCATCTCAGCCAAACCACCACAGAACACCGCACATCCGCCCCCTAACTCTTGCCAGTACGCGCAAACCCTCTGGCCCTGCCAACCGGCTCCCCCCAAGCAAGCTCGACGTCACTCAATTTAGAGCTTCAACCCGCCTACTGTGCAAGCCCGCCGCGCAAAGAGACGCTTCGTCCGTCGATCCCCCGGCACAAACGAGCACAAAGACGATCAAGTCTCTCTTTCTGACTCCCACCAGCCAGCAAACCCCTTGATCGGCACTATCCCACGGCGCGCTACAGAGGTACGCTCGTCCCATCCCTGGCCCTCCTTGTGAGCAAGCCTTCGTAACCCGCCCTTAGTGTCACCCTAAATCAGTCCATCGGCCACCTCGATATATAACCGCCGTGTTCCACACATCCGCACCTGTCGAACGATCCCCCGTTCGATCCCTCTTTCGATTCTTCCTAGACCTCACCCCACACAAGACTCGCTCCGAAACACCAAACTTGGACTACCCTTTGACAACCTCAACAAACACTCTGACTACGACAGCCCTTCGACCGACTACATATACTGCACCCCCGATTCGCTTCTTCCAACTCTGCTCAACATGTCGACCGACAACTCAAACTCCAACAACCAGAACAACCAAAACGAAATGCATCGCCAGAGACGCGGTTCCGTTACCCAGCAGGCCATTGCCGGCCTTTTCAGAAGCAATTCTACTTCAAACGGAGCTGCTTTCCCTGGCACCAGCGACGCACAGAGACGGAGACTCTCGGTCTCCACCGGTCTCGGCCTTGCTGGCACCTCTCCTACCGCTGGCAGCGCCTTCAACTCTCTGAGACGGGGAAGTCTATCAACCAACTCCAATGACTCCATCGATGAGAACGCTATCGATGAGGAGGATATCCCCCCCAACGCCCGCACCGCGCCCACCACACCCTTTACTCGCAGAATGAGCTTTGGAGCTCAGGCAATGCGCACCATGCGCACTGGCGGTGGAAGCCCTGGATCAAACGGTAATAATCCACCACCCGTCTCTGCTACCCCCTTGCCCAGTACGCCTGCTTCCGACAGACGCAGCAGCATGCACCATTCTGCCCGGGGCAGCGGCTCAGTCGTAGATGCCACGCCGCCCAACACCTCGTCCATCGCGGCTGCTCTGTCGTCGGTCAGGCGTCGCTCTAGCAGCACTGCACAGGCAAGCACTGCACACAAGCAAAGATCCTCTTCTGACGTGTTCTCGCGCCCAGACCAAGGTTTCAATTGGTCCGAGCAGCTTAGGTCTCGCGCGGAAAGCTCTGTTCAGGGCCCGCGACCATCCTTTTCGTTTGGCTCTGGCCTTTCGTCGTCCCCTCCCCGCGGCATGAGCAACGCCGGTACCCATGATCGCCAGAAGTCCGTCTCCGAGATGCCTGCTCCTCCTGCTCAGGCTGCTACCATGAAGCCCAAGGCCCCTGAGCGGCCGAAGCCCGATGCCTTCCAGGAGCGCATCCTGAAAGGCGACTTTTACATGGATTGAAAAGTTCATGCGGGCAAGGCTACTATGATTGATGTTGCCATCGTAATCATCACCATACCCGATGGCTTCGCACTACACAAGCATGAATTTCCAACGGAAAACGAGAAAAAGACCATCAAGCGTTTCACCAGTATCGAGCGTTCTTCATCCTAGTCTGTTTATCTTTTACCTTGGGGGGTTACTCCCTGTGTCAACTTGACCCCACGTGGCGTTCGGCTGGTTGGTACAAAGCCTGGTTGCGGTTCGTTTTGGGCGGGGAAGCACCACACCACATGCACATGAGACCTCTGTCTCATATTTATCACGGAAGCGGAATGGAAGTGCAATTTCACAAGGAGTTCACACACGGCATGGGGAATTTGGGGAGGACGATCGCAGATTGCAAGACCTCGGGTTCCAAAACAAAAATTGGTCCGGAAAAAGACGTCTGACTTATTGCTTGCGGCCCATCACGGCGATTGCTGATGGTGTCGACACACTGACATGAGTATGTCTGGTGTATGGGAGGGGGGTAGTGTTACTGTATCGTTGCATCATTGGCCGTCACGCAGCAGCGAAGGCATCGGTACGGAGGATGGGGGCCATGGACGTTGACAGCGCAGCAGAGGGTGAAGTGTGCGAAACCATGGTTGTGTCTTTGAGGGGGCATGATAGGCACATGGCTCAGAGCAAGACGGAGTGGGGGCGGGTTTACAAAGGGCTGCGGGCACATCGCCCGAGATGAGAGGCGGATTAACGGCCGGTGACTAACGCCGAACTTAGCTACCCAGAGAAACACGCTCGGGCCCGAATGCAAAGTTTCGTGGTCTCGTCCAACAGCTTTTTTGTTGATAACCCGCTAATGGAAACGGGCATGGTGAAGATGTTGACAAAACATGTGAGAAGATGCAAAGAAGAACGAGTGCGCGTCTCGCTAGTCTCGGCACCTAACCTCCCCAAGCCTTCGTCAGCGTGGGATTTAGTATAAATGGGCCTCCATTCCGGAAGTTTGGTATCCCGTTCCCATTCGCCGAGGCAGGGATCGAGGTCTCTATAGGGAGCCGTGCCCCTAAGGAGGAGGAGGAGGCGGCGGCGGCGGCGAGCAGCTGTCATTCCTGGCAGGGCTGTGATATCACGCACTCGCGCACGCCAACCGTTGTCAAGTGCTGTACCGTCCCATCCGGGAGGCACGCGTCCATTTGTAAGATGGGCAATCTCAATTGCTCCCCTTCCTTCTTCCTTTCCCCACCCCCTCTTTTCCCTCCCACCTTTTCCAGCCAGGCCGACGAGCTGACAAGTCAACTAGACAAGTACAAGTACAGGGTCTCCCCGAGGTATCATGATGCGAAAAATACAGTTTTTTTCTTCTTCTTTTCGGCATGGGCAAGCTTTCCTTCCTTTACCCGCTGGACGGGAAAGAGGAAAGTCGGGGGGGAAGGGGGAGTCGACGCGAGGGGGGAGGTTTGAGATGTGAGGCATGTAGAGAGAATTGCGATTCAGCCGTCCCGTTTCGTTTTTCTTACCCCTCTCGCTGTTCCTAGGCGAGCCGTCGTAGTCCTCGCTCCCTCTGCCCCCGTGACCCTCAAATTCCTAAACAGGCCCTTGAGAGGTGTCAGAAAAGTAACTTTTTCTGGTCTTGTTTTCTTTTATTTGCTTGCCGTCTTCTGTCTCCCTTCGTTCGCGCCCCGTCTCGTTCCCTTTTGGTTTCCGAGGATAGACTGGCGCCAGTTGTTCCCAAGTGAATCGTTCGAGTCAGAAGTCATGACGTGTTTTGGTATGAGGGGATGGGGGAGGGGGATATCAGGGTATCGATCGTGGTTGTCTTGGACGTTGCGTCCTTGTAGGACAAGTGGAGGCGAGATGTTAGGTATAGATGGAATTCAGGCCGTCCCACGGCATCCAACCGTGACATCCGGCGGTTCCAAGCTCATCAGTTTGACGCCAGTCTCCCGAGATTTCTCTTCTGAGAAGTAAGAGAGCCAAAGACGCTAGGGACGCCAACATACTCCTTGCTTCGTAACACATGGCGGCTTTCACATGGGAAACATGGGCGGACCGGACGCTCCGGGCATCCCGTCGAAAATGTCCCCGAGCCCACCCATCCCGCTGAGCCAGGGATCCTGCGCCATGACGTACCGCATTCCGTTACTCAGACTCCCCGGGCTCGCGCCGAACCCAGTGGTGAATTCTTCGAGCGACAACCCCTCGGTGAAGCCCATGTCGAGGCCAATGTCCTGGAGGTCGAACTGCCAAGCCGGGTTCAGCCACGGCGCCGCAGCGTTGGGAACGCTTGGATTTGTGCTAGAGGTGGCATTGTCCATGGCGCCGCTGGACGCCGTAGTCGGGCCGGATCCCGGTCCGTCGAGCGGCGTGGGTGTCACGGCGTTGGGGTTGTATAGAAAGGATTGTCTTCCTGACGACGGCGGCGGATTCCATAGGATGTTGTTCGCCACACGGCCCGAGCGATCGTTCGTCGCGATTTCGGAGAGTAGGTGTAGCGGCGTGTTGGCCGCGGGGTATTCTTGCATCGTGGGGGAGCCGCTTGGTACGTCCGCTGCTGCTCCTCCGCAGGGGTCGGCTCTGTAGGTCGGGAAGCATGTGTAGACGCCGGGGTCTGCTCGGGCTGTGATGCCGCTGGCGCCGCAGGCGCAGGAGCACTTTTGAACGACGAATGAACCGCCTCCGGCGGCGCACCCACGGCCAGCCCTCTACTCTGCTTCAAGAACCAGCTCCTCAACATCACCAGCACCACCAGAAATTTGGCAGCCGGTCGACTCCGGTCATCCGAAGCCGCGGCGCGGAACTTTTCGAGGAGCGCGTCGAGGTAGTACTCCACTCTCATGTTATCCTTGTCAATCACCTTGCCCAACTCGGACCCGGGCGCCGTAGCGGAGAAGTACATCTTGATGAGTACGACAACGGCGTACGCGACACGCACAAAGTTGAAAACGGGCAGGCAGCGAATGCTGGGGACTTCCATTGCCAAAAATGCCTCAAAGATGCCGTCAATGGCGGACAGGCACGCTGAGAGGGCATTGATGTGGGAGGTTGTGAGTGTGAGGCTGGTCAGCATGTTGTCTTTGAGGGTCGCTGTGTCGAAGGGCGGGCGCATATCGTCCATTTGAGTGTGCAGGGCAATCTCGTGCATGTAGAGGGAAAGGACGTGGAAGGACATGCGGAGTGTTGCTGTCCGTGTTAGCCAAGGTCTTCAACGCCATCAGCCACAAAACCACTTACACTGCATTTCCTCCTTGGGTACAGAAGTGACATACTTCTCCAAATCCCTCTCCAGCATCCTCAGCGAATACTGCGTGCGCGAGTCTGTGATGTTGGGTACAATGGCCGGGTCGTCCATGGAAAACTGCATCCCAACCTCCTCGGCGAGCCGGTGCGTCCACACGAGGTGACAAAAGTATTTGTCCGTAGGCGCCGCGTCCGCCGACGTCTGCAGCACCTCCATCGACTCGGCCATGAAGGATGTCCACCGCACCAGATTCGGCCGGTGCAGCGCCATCGAGGTGTTCGCCGCCAAGAAGTACGCGGCCAACCACGCGCGCCGACACTCGATGGACGCCGGGTCCGGCGGTGACGCCCGCTTGAACGGGTGGTTCCGCCACTGGAACGGGACCAGCATCTTCCTCCCGGCCGTCCGCCGGCCCAGCCCGATGTCGAGCGCCATGACAGCGCCGATGTGCACGAGCTGGTAGAACTTGAGCTCTTCAAAGTGCTCGGGCGGCCAGTACCAAATCACGGCAACCTGCAAAGCTTGCACAATCTCCAGACTCTTGTCGCCTGTAATGATAATCTTCTCGGCAAAGATTTGCATCAGCTCCTTGACCAGCCTGCGCTGCACGTTGGGCGACTCGGACGACGCCGCCGACATGATGGCAAGGAACAGCAAAGGCTTCGTTTTCCGCGTCTCCTCGGCCGTCGTGCCAGCCGCGAATACCACTGCCGGCATATGCGGCATCATTTGCGTGTTGTACCGCTCAAACAGCTCCGCCGCCTTTTCGGCGCTGAGGATTCCGCGCTCCACGACGTCGGCGTAGTCGCTGCCCATGTGTATCGGCGGCGCTGGCCTGCCTCCACTACCGCTCTCTGTCATATCTCCTGGTGTGCTTCCGCGGTCCGAGAGTTTCCTCTTCTGCCCAGCGGCGGGTGGGATCAGGGTGTCGAACCGACCTCTATCTCCGCCGTGCAACTGTTGTTGGTCGAGCCCGAACCCGTCCGCGGCCATGCTTGGCGTCTCCGCGACGGTATTCGTACTCCAGTTCTTTGTCATGCCGTAATTGCCCCAACCCTGCTGTTTATATGGATTCTCATCCCTCGCTGCCGACACGCCCGTAGATGCACCACCACCGCTGCCACCAGCAGCAGCCGACGGCGCGGCGGAGCTTCCACGGGCCTGCAAGCTCGCCGTCAATGCATCAATCTTCTTCTCCAGCTCCGCAACCCTGCTATCCGTCTTCTTCTGCCTCTTTCTTGTTGGCATCGTTACCACGCAATTTCTCCCGGCCTTTTTGCATCGTTTACACGGACCCTCGGGGTCGTTCGGGTCCGGCTCGCATCGCACTTTCAGCCCACGGCACGCCTCGCAGGCGCGCGGCCTCTTGGGATCGTCGGAGTTCGTGCCGTGTAGCGCATCGTGCTGCGGTGTCTCGCCACTCGATCCACCGCCGTGGCCGGAGTGAGGCGACTCGGGCGATTCGGGGTGGTGTTGGTGTTGTTGGTGATGAACATGATGACCCTGCTCTTGTCCCTGCGCCTGTTCCTGGTGTCGCTCGGCCGCGCCGCCACCGTCGCGCGCCGCAGCTGTTCGAGGACCTCCGTCTAGGCTGTTGCTTCCGGGGCTCAAGGGCTCCGCGCTTCGTAGTGCTGGGTCAAGGACTGCGGCGCCGTTGTCCATCATGAGCTCGGCGAGGTGCGGTGGTATGGGTTAGTATCGGATGATCGGTGACGGCGACAGAAAATACCGACTTTCGCTCGGGGTGCATTGGGGCCGATGTGGGAAGTGCCGATACTTCCGACACTACATAACGAATATTAGTCAGCTTCAGGCCGTCGCGTTACCCACGATGCCGAGGTCTGGGTTTCCCGTTCGTGCCGTGGAACAAAAGCGCAGACCTGGCAAGTCTGATACCATACAAAAAGCCGTGACCTCAATTTTCATCACAGAGCTGCGAGTTGATGAAAGATTTCACGATATTTTCAACAAACTAATAATCCAAAGATGTATTGCACCCACGCTAAATGCAAACCTGGAAACTATGAGACCAAACTGCCAGACGCAGTTCAATGCCTTCAACGCCATGCTGGAATTCGCGAATCAGAGCACACATGGACCGCCCAGGGCTTCCTGCGAGGCAGTCGCGCCTTGGAAAGCCGACCGTCTGTGTCCCTATGATACAAATCTTGTCCCTGAAATGGCCCGCCGGTCCCCCATTCCCCCAGGGTAGCATCATCGTCTACGGCGGTAAACCCATCCCAGCTCATCTAAGCCTTCTCTCATAAACATAAAAAATTCGGAAAACAGCTACGATTGCGAAGGTAGCGATCGGTATTAAATAGTATGTGGAGCGCTTGGCGCCGGTCCGGAATGGTGTGATATGTTCGGGTATATTGGCGCCATCATGTCGTCCATGCCCGTCAGGCTTGCGGTAACAAAAATCAAAACTTGAATAAAAGGTGCAAGGCATGGTATCAACGCTGCGTTTGAACGAATGGGTATGTTGAGGAGTAATTGGGTAGAAACGAGAATGAGAAGAGCAAGTAGGTGGCAGGATGACCTGACTTAAAATTGCGTCTCCTCTCGTAGTCGGCTCTTGGAGCTCTGAGGGTTCAGGCCAACCACGTTTCCCATGAAGATGGCACTTTCGCGTCTTTTTTGCTGGTCGTATCCGGCAGAACCGTTATCGTAGCCGCGACCCGGTCCATGGTACCCATTGCTCTGGTATCCTTGTGGCAGATACTGCGGCTCATACGCCGTGGAACGATTGGTTGGATAATTCGGCGGGGGGTGGGCGACGATCGGGCACTTTGAAGATCTTGCAACAAGGGCGGCGGCGTGCCACTTGTCCTTTGCTGGCCCGTCATGGCTTCCAAAAGTCTTTGACGATGCGGTGACTGGCTGGACCCAGCTGAAGTCGAAGGACGCGCATGCTGCGACGTGTCATAAGAAGGTCGAGAGGGAAGCCCATTGTTCATGGACGGCAGGGAGCCAGATCTTTCACGACCCGACTCTGCTTCCGCGAACGAGGAGGGCAGCTCATACTCCTCGGGCTCCAGGCCAAAAATGCCAAAGTAATTCTGCAGAAGCATGGCAAAGACCGGCGCTGGTATGTTCAACGTCGGCGAGAACACAATCCCCACATTGCGGACCGTCATCTTGTTCATGTCTGCGTTGTTGATGATCTTGATCAAGAAGGCGATCAGGTACTTCAGTAAGGTAGCATTTGCCTGCGGTAGTCTCTGAACCAACTCGGACAGGGCAGCAATCTTTTCCTTCTGTCCCGACATCTCCGTTACTGCCAGGAACTCTAGGTGAAGGTCACGGGTGAGTATGGTCGTCGGAAGTTCGCGGAGGTAGAGTTTCAGCAACGAGGCAACGGCGTGGATATCGTAATAAGTTTCGTCGGTGACCAAGTTGACGTCTCCCTCAGTATTGAATCGCTCACGAAGCTGCTTAATGACGACATTTGAGCCGCTCAGACGGAAAATACCCTCCTCAAGAATAGCATTCTTGGCATCCAGGTACTGAATGCAACGGTACACAACGGCCGGCAATGGCACATTGATATCGACAGGGTGGCTGTATCTGACCGCTTCGGCTAGCGGGGCTCCGAATGCCTGACGGATGGGGCCCTGGTAGCCGCCCTGAGGAGGCGTCGACGATCCTCCTTCACTTCCGCCGAATAGCGAGTCCTGGCCGTCAGACGAGGATCTCGTCTTGGGACCGAAGCCAAAGAAGCTGCGTTTCTTCATCTTCTTCTCCTCGTTGGCCGGAACCCCGAGTCCAGCCTTGTTGCCCCACTGGGCGGAGTCTGCAATGACTTGCATGTCTCGCGGAGCGGAAATCATCATAGACGGCTGAGAAGACATTGTCATCGCCTCGGCAGGATGAAGGTTCTCCGGCATGTGCCCGGCAGTTCTGGGCCGTGCAGGAGCGCCGTGATGCGGGAGATCACCTTGGGACGTAGCGTCATACCTAACACCTATGAGCCCGTCAGACTCGGAGGGCTGATGTTGTGAGGCCGTCTTCTTGTATCGCTGCTGCTTCTTCTTTTCGGCACGCTCCGCCGTGCCCGAACCTTGACGGTCTTGCGCATGATGCTTCGTAGTGTGGCTCTCATCCTCTTCGGGGTCTTTGTAGTCGATCCATCTAAGCAAGGCATCTACCCACTGATCTCTTTCCTTATCGTTCTCGGCGCAGAGTACGTGCTTTACGTGGCTGCTCGAGTCCTTTTTCTTCGGCTCCAGAATCAGAAATGCGTGGCGATATTGATTGTCCATGTCGTCTGAGTTGGCTGACTGTTGGGGCGACTGGTTCTCATTGCTTTGGGATTGCTTGCCAATTTGTGCACTAGGTAGCTTGATTGTACCGAGGTGGGCGCCTCCCGGTGTTTCGTAATACTTCAGATGAGGACCATCAAGAACGAAGAAGCGTGCCTTCCAGCCGCCAAAATTCTTCCCTCTCTTAGTGAGATAGCCGGTTCTGAAAGGACGACCGCCCGGTCCCGACTTGACCTTGGCTTCGACCATGCTCTCCATCGAGCCAGCATCATCGGCGTTGGGGGGCAGTGTATGAGTTGACAGGTATTTGCAAAGCTCGATGGCGCTCGCAGTGTCCAGGGGTGTATCCAAAAGCTCTTCCAAGTAATGATCTAAAGCGATCCGCCGGGCGTCAAGCTTGGCAGGTGCATGTCCGCTAAAGAGCGACCTCTCCGGTGTCTTTGCGGTAAATGCAGAACATTGTTTGAGTCTCTGGTCCAACTTAGCGAGCGACGCCGAGTCCTTCTCTACACGCCAGAGCTCACCAGGCTCAGAGCGTGAGAATATGGCAAGGGTGAAGACCGGATCCTCTTCCAGTTGTGTCAGGGACATCAAACTTGCGCGCGATGGCTTCATGCGTGAGGACGCAACCTTGACTCGGATTGTAGGCAGGACGTTAGGCGGAAGCAGCAGATCAGGGTATTCTTCGGTAACAAATCCTTTGAAGATGCGGCCGCGCTCAGTCGGGCTTCCGCGGCTCTTATCGCTGGTTGAGTCCCATCCCTTCTTGACAATGTTCAGCGGTTGGGGGCTCTTAAGCTCCATGGGCTCTGCTGGCGTTTGAAGGGAGTGACCTGGAGGGAGAGGAATTGGCTGACGTGGTGGTCGAGGCGATAAAGGCGCGGCAGGGAATGATGATATACTGGCTGCTGGGCTGTCTGTTGTCGAGGCCCCTAGCGGACGGGGGCTGGAAGGCAGACCAGGGCTGAGGAGCGGAGCTTCGAGATTGCTGACGCTCAGAACGTCAGCGAGCGAAGCCGGAACGTTGTCGCGTTGCATTCGTTTGGGAGGGCTTGGTGGCAACTCCGTAGGGGCATCCGAGATCGCATGTGTTGGTGTGCCCGTTAAGCTCTTTTTCGACAAGCTCCTCCTCTCAGCCTCTTGGATGGCTAAAATCTCCCTGTCGTGGTCATCCTCCTCGCGCGTCCTACGTCGACCACGTTGCTCAGTCAGGATTTCATTCACTTCTAAAAGGTCGTCGAAGTCGGACTCGCTGTCTTCGTCTTCGCGGGTAGGTTGAGTCTGGCCCTGGAGCTGCAAGGGTGCCGGCGGGGGTTTGCGTGGTGGCGGCGCAGGGAACTGTGATAGGCCTTCATCGGCATTGGACACAGACTCGGAGGCCACCGGTGGCTTTGGCGGAGGCATGCTTGGGGGTTGGCTTGGTAGGCTTCGGGATGGTGGTAGGCCCATGTTGATCGGGATATCCATGATCTCTTCAGCCTCGAGCTCCCTCCTAGCCATCTCCGCAGCGTGCTCCTCTGCATCGTGGTTAAACTGGTCGTAGGCGTGCTCGTGTGCCTTGGGCATCTCGTGTGATGGATCCAGCAATTCACCCACGGCTGACGGGGGGCCATTCGGCTGGTCTGCTGGAGGTGTGATTGGGTAGGGTGCCATGGCCATATCCACAGGGGAGTGCTTCTGGCTGTCGGAATCCAGAGTAGGGGAATCCGGTGCCACAACCTGCCGCTCCTTGGGGCACTGACATCGACTGTCGGGATTCCTTTGCTCATGGGCATTTTGAGAACTTTGCTGGCGGATTTGGATCCGTCGGCACCCGCCGGTTCTGATATCGACATGACCTCCTTCAACTTCTTTCTGTATTTCTCCTTGTCCTTTAACGCTCGCTCCAGATCCTTGTTGAGACCCAGGATCATGGCTCTCTGCTTATCGACGAGGCGCCATAATTGTGCGTTTTGTTGCGACTGGGAATGCTTTTCTTTCAAGAGGTATTGGATCACCGCCTCCGGACTGCCCGCCGTCTTGATTAGCGCCGCAATGTCTGTGGTGTCAGACTGGCTCGCAGTCGCCCCCCTTTGGGACTGCGATTTTGTCGAGATGGCTGAAATGGTAGAGTCCATGGAAGAGTTGCGCGGGGCGCCCTTGCCTGGCTTGGACCGCGCTGCAGCGGCCGAGCCCCCGAAGTAGACATTGGAGATCGGAGCGAGCCTGCGAGAGGCCTCGAGGTCAGAACGGGCTCGGAAGAGCTTCGATGGTCATTCGTGGGCAGTGGTGATATTCTCGGTCTACTGTGGCTGGCTGCTGTCAGTTGTGTTACACATGGCGGCGCGGGGAGTGATGGCCGGGCTGTCAAATCGGAAGATAGAAACAGGGCGCACACATACCGCCGTGTGCTGCGTT